CGACAAGCTCAGGAAGCGGTCGAGGACATCGGTTACTCGGGTTGTTTCTTGAGTTGGGTTTCGAGATGTTTCGAGGCTTTTGGCAGTTCAGGGATAGAGGCCCTGCAGGGCTAATTACACTCTTATGGGGCAGCTGGGCTTTCATGTGGTTGAGCGGTCAGCTGGTACGTGCACAGAGCAGGCACCACAGGTTCCCGTGCAACCTGGCACATCCTCGCAAGTGTACATCACGGTTCAGACACAGCATGTTTTAAGGTGTTCTTCAACAATTGCAGTGAATCCTCTCTTTGAAAGTTGCAGTAAGGTTTTGGCCACCAAGCCTTTGTTTGAACGGGGATGAGGAACTGGATCTCTGGGTGTGGCTTTGCGGGCTGGATGGTGGAGTTTAGAGTTCTGGATGATTAGTGCAGCAAGAAATTCAACTAGAAGCCTACACTTGAGATGGCTCATGGTGCATGCATGATTGGGCAACGTGAGGTAGCAAGCTGCTGAGGCAAGCTTCAAGCTGCACTTATTTGCAAGACATGTGTGCATCGCACAAGCTGTCCCCAATTCTGTCCGCATGTCAGGATTCATCGGAAGAAATGTCGTCATCATCCGAATCTGACGAGGACCCTGGAGAGATAGCCAAGCTGGAGCGGTAAGGGCTGGGAAAATATGACACCTCCATGCTCTTTTCAGTCACTCCTTCGTAAGCCCTGAATAAGACAATAAGCTACAAAATCCATTGCAGAAAGCCCTCAACTCCACTTCCTGTTCATACATTCTTCATCGGTTGACCTTTATGCGCTTGTCGCTTTTGAAAGTCGAGCGCGGCCATCAAAGTCTGCTGTTGCCGCCTTACAGGAATGCCTTTCTGGTAGTCTCATACTTGAGTTAAAGGCTGCATTGTCTAGATGCACATGTTAGAAACTGACAATTTGTTGAAGACCAGATTACGCAAATGAGACGCTCTTATGAGAACTCTGATGACCATCAGTGTTGGGGATGGCACCCAGGTTTTACAATCTCAGACAGCTGTTATAGGAGGCTGCCCCAGCGCCGCCTGCAGAGCCGGCCCCGCCAGCGCCCAGCGCGTCTCCCCGCCTGAATTATTGAAAACTTCAAGAGCACTATATAAAGGGGCTTATGCGGGTTTAGGGTCAGTTTAACGTTCTACTGGGTTTTTCGAACCAGACGATGCCCAAAGCAGACTAAGCATGAAACTCACCGTTTAACGCCGTTGCTATGATTTGCTTAGTCTAAGATTGAAGAACTTTTTTTGTTCGTGTACATATCTATGTGTCTGTAGTATTTACCGTCTCACAGTACAAGGTGGCTCCTGGATTCTATCTGACAGGCCGGTCACTGACCCCTCCACACTCGCGGAGAAGCGGGCAGCCGCGCTGGCAGAGCAGCTGAAGGGGAGGCCGATGCCCGTGATAGAGTTGAGTGGGGCTTGCAGGGATGATGAGTCTGATAACGTGGTGAGGGTTTACATGGAGGCTCACGCGCCGTTACAACAAATTTAAGAAATAGACTAATTATAATCTAGCTAATCCTAGCAGGGCAGGAGTTTTCAGGCCTTGCATTGGTTGGCTCAAGGGCTACCTTTAAGACATGTTTTGTCTCGTAGGATGGTGCTGCAGGAGGTTGCTCACCTATTCAAGATTTTGCTCACATCATTCAGAGGAGCAGCAGCAATGCAAGACGTCACTCCCACATTTTGCAGAAATTACTTCCTGGCCGCATCCCGCCCAACACAGAGATGTCAAGGCGTTCACGAGAGCCACAGAGATGCCGCTCGATTTTGTTGAGTTGCATACTTGGACATACACCACCTTCTGGCATCTCAATCGCAACTTCTGTACTGCAAGTCCGCGCAGCCTGCTTTCTGGTGGTCAAAAGCTTTGCAAGAAATATACGACCACCTAGCGCAGGATCCCTGGTGTAGTCATGTTTTTGGATGCCTCCAATAAACCTTAGATAGGTCATTACTGAATTATCTAGGCCCTAAAGCAGAGGGAGATAGCTGAGATCGCGCCAGGACGACATCGATGGGCAGGCAGCAGGGGGCACCATGTAACAATGTATCTGCAAGTGTACTGCTTGAGGCCGAAACCCTACGTATCAATTGTGTCATGCGCACGTCTCCAAGCGTGCAAACAGACGAATTCGTGCTGTGCTCTGCATGGTATTAGCTGCAGCTAGACAGTACAAGCGTTGGATTCAGAGCCAATCTCCCAAGCAAGGCACTCAATGCTAAGGGGCAGGAAAGGATTGCAACAATCGCCGACCCGCTTGAAGGATGTGCACAATGATACGGTAATCATGGCCCTACCGCATCCTCCTACCCCAGTCAAGCCTCCGAAACTTCCTATGACCGGACTGACTTTCCACCTTTCTTCGCGACATCCGTGTCCACCCTACCCTTGACCTCACGTCGCAAAATAGAACACTTACACGACGGCTTTGCTTCCCTTTGGTGTCATACTTCTTGTCGTAGGGTATGATGTGCGTAGAAACCATGCGCTCCAAGATGCTGCATGCCAAAGGCGCGTTTTGTAGACCTGGCTTGAAGTGCAAATCTGCGCCTGTTCATCAGCAGGCAAGCTGCAGCATCACCTTCCCCCAGAGAGGCTGCGCAGTGTAAAGGAAGCGTAGAAGGGCTTTGTGATCGTGGCAGTGGCGGCCGCAGCAGCGGTGGCGTTGGTGGTTCTGATTGTAGTTGTCGTGTAGTGCAAGGAGAGAACACAGCAACTAGACAGATTGACGCTTGATTTGTTGACATTTCGTTTGGAAGTATGTTGAGTCAGTGTTCAGTGCAGGTTTTCGACAACGACAGCTTAACAGCTATGATAAGTTCTGGCAGGCTCTTATGAACTCTTTTTCAGGCTATTGCAGGTACAGTTATAATTACAGGTGTCCGTGCTCGGACGTGCTGAGTGCAGCCTGGAAACTTGATTCAGAAGCGTAGTCGGAGCTTCAATGGGGCTTGAGGTGCAATCTTCATCAGCAGAAAGGTGGTCTCAGGGGTGTTGAAGCGCTCAGCTAAGGCGTTGCCTACTTAAGATTGATTCAGAAGTCAAACCGGAAGGACAAGTAGACGTAGGGACACCCAGGTTACTGCGCTGAGCGCTTTTTGTCCACAGTAAGGTGACATCCGAAGTGTCCAAGGAATCACCAGAGCAGGCACCGTACGAGGAATCAATGTGCCTATGCACGTCACGGTGACGATGAAAAGAAGGGCATCATCACAGAACTTGCAGCAGCAGAACTTTACCGCGATGGAGATACTTCTTCGGAACCTCAATGGTGGCATTCTACAGGCGCCGAAGCCGGCGGTTGCCGCGGTGGCGGAGAAGCCTGAAGGCAGAAAACTCTGTTTTGGGGCTTGGAGCTTTTTAGGTTTGCAATGATATTATTGCCGCTTTTGTCATCGCAGTCAATGCAGCCGTGGTTGGCGTTGCTATGTTCGTTGTTTGCTAGCGGTGTTGCTCTTGCGATCGATGTCAGGCAGTCTGAAGCATGGATTCCAGAGCATTGCTCCGCAGGGCCTCCAAACACGAGATACTAGGAGTTTAGTCTGTAGCTGATAGGCTGCAACTCCTGCCAGGTGCAGCGCTGGACGAGCATCTGATCCTCGAAGCCGAGCTTGAGGACTTGGCTTCGCTTAAAAATGAGAGCTTCCGGTCAGGGATGGCTCCTAGGTTTCTGATGAAGTCCGCAACACAATATGCTTGCAGCCTTGCTGCCCATGCGCATATAGCAAAGCTTTTGCTCTAAAGACTCGAGAGCCAGCAGGCTCGAGATTGAACTGGGATGAACTGGGTTTCGGCTTCAGAAATTCAGCGAGCCCTTTCAGCTGATTGCGTGTAGTCCATATATAAGCTTGAGAGCAGTTGGAGTGTCAGCTTCAGTGTCGAGCATTCAGTTGAGGCTCGGAACCGCCTCATTCTGGTTATGCGCGTGGCTGGTTTATTGTTGGTTCCAAAGCTTCTTGACAACGAATGCTGCAAAAAGCCCTGCAGACGCTCGCAATCTGCGTGCGACCATTGCTGCCCTGGTAGTGAAGCCCCATCCAAGCAATCCTGCTATTGTGGGAGGATCTAGTGGTCATTGGCAATGCCGCAAACTGCAGCTCGTGGATTGGTCAGGCCAGGAGACCCCTGTGCTCAGATTTCAAGCTGAAGGTCTTGGCATTGCCATCTCGGGCGCGGGGTTTTTCTCGGAGCTTTTGGGTCGCAGCCTTTTCAAAAACGCTGGGAGCGGCAGCATGCAGCAAATCGGGAAATTGCAACCTTTTCAGCTGCGAAAGTGCCGTTGTTGCTTCCGGACGAGGATCCACCCCAGCCATGCATGCGCATGCCTGCGTCACAATCAACCCTTTCAGTGTTCAGATAGGGTTTGCTCACGGTGCTTGCATCGGAGGCCATTGCCGACAGCCATTTTGTGGCAATCGTCGTGCTCTCAGAACTTTCAGCCCTGGGTTTTCCGTGTTTCCAGATTTGTTCTCACAACCATGCATCCCAAGAGCACGCAAGACTTCGGACTTGAAGCTCGGGATTTACAATCAGGTCAAGACTCCGCAAGCACCAAGCACCTCGGTCATCATCGATGCCGGAGCCCTGGCAACCTGTGTGCTGGGGTTCGCTGCGCCAACCCCACGTGTGGTAACGCTTTTGGCCTCATGTCTTATGCCTGTTCAGCTTGTGGTTTCTTGAGGTCGCCATGTCACACGAAGCTTTGCGTCAGCTTTATACCAGCCTACACCACAAGCCACATGCTGTAGATCTTCGGACTACGTGTGACATTGTCTCTCAAAGCTCTACAAGCCCGGGAAAAACTACGAGGTCATCCCGGAAACGTTGAAGCCCGCAAGGAATTTAACATGCACTGTATAGAAGAGTGAGATGAAGCACGGTATTCAAGATTTCATGATTTGTAATCATCCCTGCAGAGCCAATCCCGCTTGTAGCTACGCATGAACCACTCAGAAGCGTTTGGGATGGTCCTTTGAGGCAAAGCTGGCGGAAGAGGCCAACATCAAACGCGAGGCCCCTCTCTTGGTTGAAAACTTTGTCCGCTCCTGATTTCATGCTCTCTGGTTCGTTGCTACCAGGGCCGAACTTTAGATTTAAGCCTCTGCTAAGGTCGCAGCCCTTGGTCTTGTAAAGCTAAAGATGGCCAAGGTTCAACAGCCACCAAACTACACTAAGCATCTCATCCTTTAGGACCTAAAGTTTAGGCATTCTGGCCCAGCCCTGCAACAAGAACGTTGCAGCTGAGATGAAGCGGGGAGTAACAAGCCTTACCGCCAGATGAACCTTGCCGTAATTAGAATCGCACGTGCACGGCTTGAGCTGTACGGGTTTGGGGCCCGGCTCTTGCCGGCCAAGAGCCTGTTCAAACCTGCTCCCTGCATGAAAAAGCTGTCAGTATCAGAGAAAACTAAAAGGAATCTTTCTTCTCCCCGGTATTGGTACTGGTTCCTACTTTGTGGACAGGTCCTCCAGCGTCGCTGGGTGGCCTTCCGTGCCAGAAGAAAGGTGTGGGTCTCCAGCAGCATGTGTGCCAAGTGTCGGTTAGCAACCCTTTGGATGGATCCTGAGGACACCAAGTTGGGCACGCTTTCACTTGAGATTTATCAGGGTTAGAGGATGAGGCTCAAGGGTATCAAAAATGGCGAGATGCCTGTCTAACATGAGCTTCTAACAGAAACTTAGCGGCCGCCTTGCGGCATAGCACCCAGCTGAACTGCACAACCTGTCACGAAACTATTATGCGAAACACTGACGACTAACTTCTCAGGTTTACATGGTCGGTTCGCACAGCACTGCACGTAGTTGAACATAGCACCCAATGTGTTGCAACATAAGCCAAAAGAAGCTTTGTTTCTGTTAGGGTGTCGAGTCTGAGTGCTCAGGGATTAGAGATGCCGTTGCTACGTATGCCCCATTTTAAGTCTGCCCATCTACGAAGTCCTTGAACTTTGACGGGATTTCATCGTACCCGTCATCTTTTGCGGAACCAACCCTCTGCCATAACAAACCCCAACCATCGATGGGCCTGAACGTTTCGCCAGGTAGGAGATCCTCGCCTGCCGTTGAAGGAGCGAGGTGATGCTTTGGGGATGAACTTGTGTATTGCGAAGGCCTGTCGGAAATGAATTTTGAACGTTTGGAATCACAACGGCCAACACAAGACAGCAAGTTTGTCAAAGCAAGTACTAAGTCACTGCTACTGATGCTGAGAGATTGACGTCTTGGCCAGTCAATGTCAGGGGCAGGCTATGCAAGGTGTTGCAACTTGCTGTCCCGCACCTCAATCTGTGTTTGCGGCTGCCCTGCTCAGTAGCCTTGAGTTCAGAAAGGCCGCTTGTCCATCTTTAACGGGCCGGTCCAGAAGCCTGCATGGACAAAATGCAGCGAGTGGTGCACAAGGTCAGGCAGGCATTGAGATGAATGGCAATACCCAACATGTTCAGCTGACTTTGTTGCAGTTGCCCTCCAGCAGGAGCTCAGCGCTCTTTGCGACCAGCTTGTGCAGGCCTGTTAGCAAAATTATTGAACGTGCTGGTAGTTGTGGTGTTGGGAGTGGAGTCTGATCTTGCAAGCAGCCACTGTGAACTCTGTCCTGACTTTCTGGGCTTCAAATTTGTACGATCGAAGTGCGGGAGCCCAACCTAGTTCAAACCTCGCTAGGGTGATGTCTATGTGCTTGAGGCGAAGGCTTGCAAGGCTTACTCGAGCACACACATCTTTGTGCTTTTGATGCTTCATGGGGGGCATTCGCGGGGTAGGGTTGGGCTTTGGGTGCTTGGGATTGCCGGTAATTTCTCAGACAAATCTGTAGCAGACACAGAGAAACATCTTGAGCACGTCAGACTCAGTGGAGTCTAGAGTCTAGAGTCTATAGAGCCTTCAAAACTCCATCTTAGCGCTTTCGACAAAGAGCGGGTGAACAGGTACAGCGCCAACGAAAGCAAGTTTGTGTGTTGTTGACGTCCTCAGGCTGGAGTGGAGCCTCGGACTTTGGTCCCGATTGACTCCCGCAGCTACCTGCTCATGTCGCAGGAGCATGTTCAGGCGCTTTGAGCTTCGCTGGGCTTTGAGAAGCAGAGCCTTGGGATCAGTCAGGGCTTGGAGGCTTACTTGTCTCGGGGTTGGGGCTGGTCTTTTGGCCAAGGGATAGTTGCGGTCGTCCATACCTGCAGTTGGTTTGGAGGGGGGGGTGGTTGAAGGACCCGTTTTCCAGTAGTTGGGACTGAGTGCCGTACGGCGTGCCCCGTTTAGATGCTTAACTCCATTCGAAAAAGCATCGATCTAGTGCACTGCCACTCCAGGATTCGGTGCTACCTGAAGCAGCCTTTAGTGCTTTCTGGCTAAGGCTTCCGTGTCCCAGCCTGCTTCAGTAATTCCGCTGATATAGCAATGATGCTGGGCTCCATGGGGGCTCTGCAAGCCGACTCGAGTGATTCCGGTGAAGCTGAGAATGCTACTAGGCTACGCCCATTGCGTCGCTGATGCTGACATGTTGAGCTGGACATTGCCACCAATGATTTTCTTGTTGTTGTGCTGATGCCCTGATGTGGGTAGTCTTTCAGACCAGGCACTGTTGATGCCATGAATCAATGGAGCCGACCCTGCTGATGATTTTGAGTGTTGGGCGCGTGGGTGGCTTGCCACCGAAAATGCCCACACTCATGTTGATCATGTTGGGATGCTAGGGACTGAGGGCGGTCTATGGTTTCACATTGTGTTTTCAGTCATGTGCCCTCGTGTCCAACGTGAACTTGAGCATGTGATTTAGCGGGCTTGAGTTTTGAAGTTTATGTTAGTATCGATCCTCGTTCTAGGCCCTCTGCGCTGGAACTCCAACAGTTCGATGTGCAAAGCTTGTACGGCCGTGTATCTTCGAGTTAGCCTACAGCAGTACCCCCTGAACGCCTGCGAAAGGCCTCGGTTGCTGCATTGGTGCAGTGCGGCCATATCGTCTCGCCTATGCTGAAGCTAGACTGCATCCGAAGACAATCCTACTTCATCCTCCACCTGCGGGGTCCCTTTTTGGAGCATTTTGGAGCCAGTTGAAGGGATTGTTTTTCAATATTGCTGCCTCCCCACGGTTTTTACACATGGGGGAAGTCCTGGAGATGTGAGGGGCGAGGGCTCTGGGCTCCACATTGACATGGTTTGGGTGGCTGAAAGTGTTGTAAAGTGCCTTCTTGAAGGAAGGCTGTGGAACTCACAAGCTCCAGCTTGGGCTTCCGGAAAGTTTTGGGAGCAGCTCTGCGTTGGACTTGCCCTTCAGTTCTGTCTGGCCTTTGCATCTCTTATCCTTGCATGAAAGGTGGGACCTCGCCCGTCTCAATGGACTGACGTCAGGCATTTTACAAGCCCTTGAATCTTGTAGTTTTAGTATGAATTGGAGCTTGGATCAGCTTTGGTGTCATTCTCACCAAGCTCCTCGTCTTATCGCGTCTTGATAACTCAAGGCCTTCAATATGTTCATGCGGCTTGAGGGGATGCCTGAACACCAAAGCCCAACATCCCTCATGTTGGACCTGCGCCAAGGCGCGTCGTGCCACCGATGAAGGCGCACTGTTGTCTGCAAGTTTGAAAGCTATCTGGGGGATAGTCTGGAGTCAGGAGTATTGAGAGGGGCGTCCCGGTCCAACTTTGACTGCATGCTGGGGCTGGCTAGCGCATGCAATCCGCTCCGAAGCTATCGAATCACAAGAACCTGTTGCATTGTTTCCAGAGCTTGCCTGAAGGTTTCCCGCAGTTTGGCGGTTCAGTGTGTCAGTGATAAAGAGCAAAACGCGCCTAGGAGACTGCATCATGTCTCCTTGTGCTGCAGTTGAGATGCAGGCCGGTCTTGCTTTGTGGTGCAACCCAGGAAGCTGCGGACATCCGTCCCTTTGCGCCCGGCCGTGCATTTACCTGGCCAAGAATGGCGCATGCCACGTGGACGGGTGCAATTTCTGCCACATGCCGCACGACCAGCCTGCATCAAAGCTCAACCAGAGGCAGCGCTACGTGTTGAGGCAGCTCGACCACAAGAGCAAGATGGACTTGATGCTTGAGGCTGTGCGTGAAGGGTTAGAACGGGAAGGGCTCGCAACCCACGCTGCGGAGATGACCCGCCTTCTAGAAGAGGAGGCCGCAAAGTATCCACAGCAAGCGGGTCCTAGGAGTCAGAAGAGACAGCTCCACGACCTCCGCAAGGCCTTCATGCGCATGACTGTATCCGACACCATCAAGTCTTTCGAGGATGTTCTTCCAGAGAAAGCGCTTCAATACTTCCAGGACTTGCGCCAAGGTTTGGTTCCGCAGCCGCCGCAGACATCCGCTTTGACTTCCAAGTGTGAGCTTACCTTGAAGGACGCTCTTGCTTTGTACCCTTTTCCTAGAACCAAGCTTGCGACTTGGATCCTGTGATGCAACAAGCGCAGCACGAAAGGTTCACGGCTTACTCCACGGCTGATGGTTGCTCGGCCAAAGACGCCTGGCCTTGTGTGCAGGCTTTCTCCGTAGCAGCAGTGATATCATTTCATTTCTTTGCTAGGAAGGCTGAGATCGTGATCTCTTTCCATTTCTCGGCTACTGTAAGGATCCAAGTCGCTGCATGTGCCACTCAGCACTGCCAGTCCACCTAGAACATCCAGTAATTGGGACCCAGCGCAGTAGACAGAGTCGCATGTTGTAACCAGGATGACTCCTGTTCAGATCAGTGTAGCAGTATAACAAGAGCCTAGATTATGAAGTACTTGGGTCGCCGCTCAAAACCTGGCAGTGCTGTGGTGGTGGAATAATTTTAAGACGCTGGCGTATTTCACCTCAACCTCCGTCCTCAGACAGCCAAAACCCGCTGAAGAGTTGGGTGCGAGCTGACACTTTTTCACTTGGGACAACTTTTGGCCACAGAAGGTCATCACAGCTGCTCAAGCAGAGCTCTGTTGTATCCTTGGGTTCCTCATTCTGGGCATCACGGTGCACGCCGACGCCCAAGAGGAAGTGGCAAACACGGAGGCCTACGAGGCTTGTGCTTGCGTTTGGCATGCATGTACAGTGCAATTGGTTTCCTGTTTGGTCTGGCCACATCTCGACTCTCACAGTTCTAACTTGCACCCTACGCGGAAAATCCAGGGGGCAAGAACTCGGAGATGGCTCAGATAGCAGCAGCCTTTTCCTTACCGCAGCTTGGAAAAACAAGGTCATGAGAGGGAGAACTCCAAAACCCTTTCGAGGGCGCCCCACCCAACTATGAAAACCTCGGCGTGCCTTTGTCAGGCAGAACGTACGTGATGTTCGTGTTGTCGTTGTCCACGTTCGTCGGCGACGACTGCGGGATGGAAAGAGCTAGTGCAGTCCATGGACCAAGCTACGACATCTAAATCTGATTTGTATGAAGCTTGGAGTTTCGGGAGTTATCTTTTTCTGCCGGGGCTGGTCAGTACGTTCGGGTTCAGTCTGAACATTCGCCGTGAGCTTGCAGAACTCAACAGAACTACAGAGCAACCTGGGATCCCATCAGAGGTCCAATGAGGTCCAGGCAGCCCTCGGCATGAAAGTAACTGCAGCAATCCGCGCAACTCAGTGGTTCAGAGCGAGTTCATTGGCCTCAGGAGTGCAGGTGCACTGTACCTCAGGCATCTTGGCTGACATGTAAGGGCGATCTCAACCAGCTGAAAGAAAGCCAGTTCGCCAGTCCGAAAATGAAGAGTATTCTAGGGGAGCGTAGCATGTAGTTTGACTACAGGTTCCCAGACGCAGCCTATAACGCGGAACATGAGTAACCTTATCCCTATGTATCCCCAATACTACAGTAGTTTCCATTTTCTTTTCCATTATCCCTATATAACCCCAATATTTTTGCTTTCCCATCCTGAACTCCAAAAAACGAGCATCTGCCTGCAGGTGCCTGAGGCTTCTCCGGAGCTCCCAGAGCCACAGGCCTCCCTTTTTTTTAGGGCATTTACAGAAATTGTGTAGCCCTAAGGGTGCAAGGACCTAAATACTAGAGCTTTAGGGCCCAAATAATTACTATATATGACTATAAATTTTCTGAAAATGTGTAGGAGACTCTAATAGGAACTGCAGGAAGTATAGGGATGATATAGGTTGATATAGGGATTTTATAGGGGTTATATAGGGATAATGGAAAAGAAAATGGAGACTACTAGAACAGGGTACATCTTGTAGGAGTCACCTACACCAGGCCGTAAAACATGCAGGACACCCCCAAACAGCAGACACATGTTCGGTGTACTGGAGGTCTAGGGAACTCTGCCCGTCTTTGGAGCTGAAGGTAGGAAGTTTGAGATGGGGGTACAGGGTTGTACATGGTTGGGGCTCATTTCGTAGTTTGGCGTTGGGTTAAAATGGTTAGAAGTTATCAGGTCCTGCATATCAAAGCATGATACTCCGACTTGCACGTCAATGTCAAGCCTCTTGCAAGCAGAGTGGACTCTTCAATATCCAGGTCTTGTACTTGCATCTTGCTTTTCGCTTTTGCCACTGCCTTTCTTCCTATCATGATCATCGTTTGTCAGTAGTACGATTATTACGAGGCTTTTCCACAAATTGAGGGCCCTGGCGCAGGTGGGAGCATGGCAGCTCATTGAGAGGCGCAGGCAGCCACGCGGTGTGGGATGAATGGCTACTTACTCCATCGTATCCGTATACAACAGTCCTGCAACCATTGCAACCTTTGTATACCATGCAATACTACATACTACGGAGGTCGTCCTCTGCAACGAAGTAAACAAGATATTCAGTCTGACCTGCAGGTAATGTATCACGACAGGGTTTGGAGTTCAGGCAATGGTGTCTGGGCTCGAGGTGCATGCATCACAAATCAGACTTTTTGTGGAGATGACCCCTGTTCAAACTACAAGGTCAACGAGTTCTCCTGAACTCTAAGGGCCGCAGGGTTCAAGCTCATATGGGGGTCTGGCGACGAGACAGAGACAGGATGAGGAGCAAGGGTCCCAAAATTTCCGCAGCTTTTCAAGGTGGATGCCATCATCCGGCCTTGCTGGTAAGTCCTTGCCTCCAAGTACAGTTTCATCGAACACCGAACACCATCTTCGAGGAAATTGGGAGGGTACTAGAATGTGTGTCTAGGCTAGGCTGAAAATGCGAGCGTGCAGGTGCTGAGTGGCCGTCAGGATGGAACCGGTCAAGTTGCGAGGGTTTTTACTGGCTGAAGCAAGATATTGGTATATAGTGTGTATAGCATGGAGATTGCAGCACGGAACTCTCAGGTATGTGGGTTGCATCATCTACTATGAACCCTCGAGCATATTCAATTGGAAAGTTATGCCTCTGGCCCTCAGCTGAGCTTTGTTGGCTGAACTTTTTGCCAGGGCCCTCCTTGCCCCTTCTGTAGCCTACGCAATGTCTTCTTTCCACATCCTAGCAACGAACACCTTAGAAGCATGTCCTTGTCAGGGCCGGGGCTGTGCAGGACCGGTGGCTGTGCTGACAGAGATGGGTTCAGTGGATGAAACGGGTGATAGGCACCGAATCTGATGCTTAGGCAGGCGTGCTGTTACGTTGGAGGGTATGCGGTCTTGGGTTAGGGCTTAAATCCTTTTGCCAAGCTCGCATTGTACATTCATAACTCGCAAGCACCCAGATGTGCTCGCAGCAAGTATACTGCAGTCCGCTTGCAGCACAGCCCACATGACGATATCTGCACCCTTCAAAAGAGGGCATGCTGCCATCAAACTTCTGAGATACATGCTAGAAAGGGCTCCGTCAACCAGACCACGAAGCCTACCAGAATGGGAATGGGCGTGTATAGCCTGGCAAAGATTACCCCTGCGCTTATGCGTCGCCTGAAGATCGTAAACCCAATGTCGCCTGACACTGTAGCCTTTCTGCACTGGGATTGTAGACACTTTGCGCCAGCAACTGAGCATGGAAGGTCTGAATCAGGATTGTGACAATCAGAACACGCTCGAGCGAAAACAGTAAGACCAAACCTGGGGAGTGTTATGAGCCACCTTGTAGGCCGCTCGGAAAGACTGAGGAAGTTTGGGGAGACAAGCTTCTCCCTGTGCCTTATTGAGATTTGACGTATCGAGTTTTCAAGTAAAGCTTGGCAGGACCTCTCGACGTCAGACCCCATGGAGACCCGAACCTGCACTTTGCGGCTTCAGGCCCGACAGCCTCACTGGAGCCCCAGCCACTCTGGGACCTAGCCATGAACTGCTACTGTGCTAGGCCCTGTACTGTAAGAAGTCGCTTCTGAAGGTTCGGATCTTCTGAAGAGATGCATCTTTGTCGTGTAAGCCAGCTTGCGGCTTCAGATGGTTCTTGACATTGTCCAGGTGCACGGGTGGGGTGCTGCTATGGTGTAGCATTTCGAGCGATCCGGGCTTCAAGTCCCCAGTGAGTGACGTGCACGCACATCTCAGGCCTTGCTGCAAGGCATGGCGCAGATAAAGCCTTCATCATCATCTCGTTGGGTACAGAATCAGGCTAACTATTATTTGGGTATTCCCCTTCGTACAGAACCATTGGAAAGCAATTTATCAAGCAAGGTGTTCGCCTTGTGCCAGGCGAAGTGCGGCCTGTACGCGGAAGTGAGGGCTCTGGCCCTGGATTGCTTCCAGCAAGCTACTACATGTAGTATACGGGGGTTATATATAGGGATAATGGAAAAGAACATGGAAACTACAGGGTTTACAGGGGTTATATAGGATCATTTATATATTGGGGTTATGTAGGGATAGTGGAAAGGAAAATGGAAAGTCTAGGATTCGAAGGGATGCCATGAGAGTTTAATTGTTTCATGTCTTCGTCAGGACTGCTATTGGTGTCTAGGAATGTGTGTACAGCGGCAGGAATCACATGGCTCCCTCACTCAGACGCAAAGCTCAAATACAAAGCGCGAATGCAAGATAAATGTCAGGATTTGCTACATGAGCCTCAGTATGGCGAGGTCCGAAACATGAAGCGAATCAGGCCCCAAAGCCTGCCCACAAGTCTGACAGATTGCAAGTGAAGCAACAGATCTGCAGATTTGCCAGGCTTAAGTTTTTTCAGCTCTCAATGCTTGGAATGCTGATAGAACAGATTGTGTTGCAGGACCTAATTCTGCTCACTAGCGCCACTCTCCTCGGCTAGCATATCAGGGTGCAGGGTGGACGCGAAAATGTACAGAGTTGCCCTTTGGTCCTGCCCAATCAGCCAAAGATATAGGTAGTGGATTGCAAGCGATGGTGCCACCGGACAGAAGCTGAGGTGTCGGCTGAGCCGGAGTCTTTTCATGCTCAGCACAGCTCATTTGGCACACTCCGGCTGGAGGCCGGTCGAATTCGGGTCCACGAGGATGCAGGTTTGGTTGCCGGATACAGCTCAAGCATTCTTCTCATGTAGCACAGTACTAGTTCTACCTAGCTGCAAACGGTGGGCTGAAAATGCATCAG